GAAACTGTCAGACTTATGCTCTTATACTCCACGGAGGCTGCTGGTGGGTCCAGCGGGAGCGTGAGGCACCACGGGGGACCTCAGTTTAGACCTCGCCACCCACCTGTGTGCGTGGCTGCGATTGTGGATTCTGTCGCCACTTTGTTGGGCTGCTGGTGGGTGGCCAGCGGAGTGAGGCACCACGGGGATTCAGATTCTGACCACGAGCAATGCTCGCGTGCCCTTGCTTTGCGGTTCGTGCCACGTGGCGCTGCGACTCGAGCTGGCGGTCGTCCTTCGGGCCCGCAGAAACATCTGCTGAGCTCGATGTTGAGGTAGGGGATAAACTTAAGGTAAAGAAGTGCAGGTACGGTGGCGGTCATTGCACTCCGCCGTACCCTCGCGTTGCTCTGTCTATCGTCTTGCTGTTTGCTGATCTTATCTGGCCTGCTGCCGGACGCGGCTCGAGCTGGGAGGTCGCCCTTGGTCCCGCGGGTAGACCCCAGGTAGAGAAGCTGCATTTTTGCGGGACGCCGCCGCCTTACTTGCAGGCAGCGCATTGCATCCGCGGACAGCAGCATGGCAGACCGTAGTGAGATCCTCAGTCGCGTGGTGTTGCCAAGCCTGGTGGAGACGCGCGTGATCGACCTGAAGTCCCAATCGCGCGTGCACTGTACCTGCGTGGCGTTCAGGCACGCGCGTGATGCTGCTCGCTCCGCGTTCATCCAGTACGTCGCCAGTGCAACTTTGGACGATGGACAACCGATTGATGATGCGCGACCCCGGCCTTGAGTTTCTTTCCCGCGGGCCGCCCGCAGACCTGGCGGCGCGCCTGCGAGCGCTCAGCTCCCGCGCTGAAATGCGCGGGAAGGAGGCGGAGAAGCAGGGGGCGAGCTACGCCTCCTCGTTACTTGCACTCCGATACCATAGTGTTATCTTGTGGAAACTCTTGCGACGACCATGGCGCTGGGCAGCGATGCGGGTTTAGCTCGCGCTTGAAAAACGCGGCAGTCTTCTGTCTCCTCCTGCCATTTTCATCGTCGTCCGATTCCCCGCCTCACCTTCTCCATGCATGCTGCTGCTTCCGCGATGGCCTTTCGCCCCCCCCCGCCCTCCATCCCATCCCTCTCCTACCCCTCGTTCCCGTACCCGTTCTTCTTCGATCCTGGGGCCTCAAGCCTCGTTCTTTCGATCGTCGTCCTGTGAATCGTGCAACGCATGCGCATCCCATGTAGCTGGCACAGCAAATCGCCGCGTCTACACTGTCGTTGTTCCTGCTAATGTTGGCATACTCCTCTTGCCATTTGATGCACGTGGGTTGGGTACGTCGCAGGGTATTTTTCCCAACCCTCCTGCGTTGGGTACTCGTTTTGAATAGAGCACTGTGGTCTCCACCTTCCTCCTCCTCCTCCCGCCTCCTCCCGCCTCCGCCCTGGTGGGGCTGCGATCCGTGGAACTGTCGCCACTTTCGAGGGCTGCTGGGGGGCCCAGCGGAGTGACGCCCTACGGGGGCTCAGATTAGACCTCGCCATCTCTGGGGGGCTGCGATCTGTGGAACTGTCGCCACTTTCGGGGGGATGCTGGGGTGCCCTGCGAGGTCGGTAGATTGGGTGAAGGTATGGGGGCAAGCTTAGCGGGTATCCGCCGCGAGCTCAGATTTCGACCTCGCCATCCCGCCATCCCTGTGGCTGGCGAGCGCTCGAATCTTCAGAACGCTCAGATGTGGATGGCTCCCAAGCGCTGGGGGGACAGCGGTAGCGACGCCCACGGGGACTCAAGATGTAGACCTCGCCATCCCAGGGGGGGCTGCGATCTGTGAAACTGTCGCCACTTTCGAGGGCTGCTGGGGGGCCAGCGGAGTGACGCCCTACGGGGACTCAGATTAGACCTCGCCATCCCTGGGGGGCTGCGACCTGTGAAACTGTCGCCACTTTCGAGGGCTGCTTGGGGGCCCAGCGGAGTGACGCCCTACGGGGACTCAGATTAGACCTCGCCATCCCTGGGGGGCTGCGATCTGTGAAACTGTCGCCACTTTCGAGGCCTGCTGGGGGGCCCAGCACAGTGGGTACTCACCGCAGACTCACATGGGACGTCGCCATCCCTGGGGGGCAGCGATCTGTGAAACCTGTCGCCGCTTTCGAGGCATGCTGGGGGGCCCAGCACAGTGGGTACTCACGGCAGATTCAGATGAGACCTCGCCATCCCTGGGGGGCTGCGATCTGTGAAACTGTCGCCACTTTCGAGGCCTGCTGGGGGGGGCCAGCACAGTGGGTACGTACTCACGGCAGACTCAAATGGGACCTCGCCATCCCCGGGGGGCTGCGATCTGTGAAACTGTCGCCACTTTCGAGGCCTGCTGGGGGGCCCAGCACAGTGACGCCACGGGCGGACCCAAATTAGACCTCGCCATCCCTGGGGGGCTGCGATCTGTGAAACTGTCGCCACTTTCGAGGCTTGCTGGGGGGCCCAGCACAGTGGGTACTCACCGCAGACTCAAATGGGACCTCGCCATCCCTGGGGGGCTGCGATCCGTGAAACTGTCGCCACTTTCGAGGCCTGCTGGGGGGCCCAGCACAGTGGGTACACACCGCGGACTCAAATTAGACCTCGCCATCCCTGGGGGGCTGCGATCTGTGAAACTTTCGTTACATTCGAGGCCTGCTGGGGGGCTCAACACAATGGATACCCACCGCGGGCTCAAATTAGACCTCGCCATCCCTGGGGGGCTGCGATCTGTGAAACTGTCGCCACTTTCTGTGAAACTGTCGCCACTTTCGAGGGCTGCTGAGGGGCACAGCACAGTGGGTACCCACCGCAGACTCAAATTAGATCTCGCCATCCCTGGGGGGCTGCGATCTGTAAAGCTGTCGCCACTTTCGAGGCCTGCTGGGGGGGCCCAGCACAGTGGGTACCCACAGCAGATTCAAATTAGACCTCGCCATCCCTGGGGGGGCTGCGATATGTGAAACTGTCGCCACTTTCGAGGGCTGCCGGGGGGCCCATCACAGTGGGTACCCACCGCAGACTCAAATTAAACCTCGCCATCCCTGGGGGGTTGCGATCTGTGAAACTGTCGCCACTTTCGAGGGCTGCTGAGGGGCACAGCACAATGGGTACCCACCGCAGACTCAAATTAGACCTCGCCATCCCTGGGGGGCTGCGATCTGTGAAACTGTCGTCACTTTCGAGGGCTGCTGAGGGGCACAGCACAATGGGTACCCACCGCTGACTCAAATTAGACGCCGCTTTCGTCCTTGTTCTCCTCCTGCGGTCACATTCCCTCTGCTGCTGCCGTGCTGATGGTTTGGCTTCCCGCGCGTTTTTCTCCTGCCCTGCGTTCCCGATTCCCAATGTCCTCTTCGAGCCTGTAGCTGTCGCCCCTCGTTCTTGTATGATTCGCCTGCGCATCATGCCATAGGCGCGTGTCCCAAGTAGCTTACGCATCAAGGTGATTGCCCATGCAAGTTTCGGCCAACTCTTCGTTTCCATTGATACAGATGGGTTGGGTACGTCACAGGGTAATTTGGTTCTCGTTTTGAATAGAGCACTGGTCGCGCGTCTTCCCTTCTCCTCCTTCCCGTCCCCCTCCTCTCCTCCCTTCTCCTCCTCCTCTTTCCTCTTGCATCCATGGGTGGCTGCGATCTGCGAAACTGTCGCCACTTTCGAGGGCTGCTGGTGGGTCCAGCGGAGTGAGGCACCGCGGGGGCCCAACTTAGACCTCGCCATCTCTGGGGGTGGCTGCGATCTGCGAAACTGTCGCCACTTTCGAGGGCTGCTGGTGGGTCCAGCGGAGTGAGGCACCACGGGGACTCAGACTAGACCTCGCCATCTCTGGGGGTGGCTGCGATCTGTGAAACGGTCGCCACTTTCGAGGGCTGCTGGTGGGTCCAGCGGAGTGACCTCGCCATCTCTGAGGGTGGCTGCGATCTGTGAACCTGTCGCCACTTTCGAGGGCTGCTGGTGGGTCCAGCGGAGTGAGGCACCACGGTGACTCAGATTAGACCTCGCCATCTCTGGGGGTGGCTGCGATCTGTGAAACTGTCGCCACTTTCGAGGGCTGCTGGTGGGTCCAGCGGAGTGAGGCACCACGGGGACTCAGATTAGACCTCGCCATCTCTGGGGTGGCTGCGATCTGTGAAACTGTCGCCACTTTCGAGGGCTGCTGGTGGGTCCAGCGGAGTGAGGCACCACGGGGACTCAGATTAGACCTTGCCATCTCTGGGAGGCTGCGATCTGTGAAACTGTCGCCACTTTCGAGGGCTGCTGGTGGGTCCAGCGGAGTGAGGCACCACGGGGACCCAGATTAGACCTCGCCATCTCTGGGGGGCTGCGATCTGTGAAACTGTCGCCACTTTCGAGGGTTGCTGGTGGGTCCAGCGGAGTGAGGCACCACGGGGGCTCATATTAGACCT